CGTCCTCGTCGTCCTCGTCGTCCTCGTCGTCCTCGTCGTCCTCGTCGTCCTCGTCGTCCTCGTCGTCCTCGTCGTCCTCGTCGTCCTCGTCGTCCTCGTCGTCCTCGTCGTCCTCGTCGTCCTCGTCGTCCTCGTCGTCCTCGTCGTCCTCGTCGTCCTCGTCGTCCTCGTCGTCCTCGTCGTCCTCGTCGTCCTCGTCGTCCTCGTCGTCCTCGTCGTCCTCGTCGTCCTCGTCGTCCTCGTCGTCCTCGTCGTCCTCGTCGTCCTCGTCGTCCTCGTCGTCCTCGTCGTCCTCGTCGTCCTCGTCGTCCTCGTCGTCCTCGTCGTCCTCGTCGTCCTCGTCGTCCTCGTCGTCCTCGTCGTCCTCGTCGTCCTCGTCGTCCTCGTCGTCCTCGTCGTCCTCGTCGTCCTCGTCGTCCTCGTCGTCCTCGTCGTCCTCGTCGTCCTCGTCGTCCTCGTCGTCCTCGTCGTCCTCGTCGTCCTCGTCGTCCTCGTCGTCCTCGTCGTCCTCGTCGTCCTCGTCGTCCTCGTCGTCCTCGTCGTCCTCGTCGTCCTCGTCGTCCTCGTCGTCCTCGTCGTCCTCGTCGTCCTCGTCGTCCTCGTCGTCCTCGTCGTATTGAAAATATAATTAAAATGATGGGCCAGTGCTAGATCATATAATAGGAAAACATGTAGTGACTTATGTACTTGGCCTCAATAATATGATATCAATACTTTTTGTTAGAGGAATTCACAGCAATCCTGTACTTGGCGTAGTTTTTTACACGTAAGTGTTTTTTGGGGGATTATAGATTACACGAATCTACATATGTAAAGTAGGAGTTTGCTTCACTGTGCAGTCAGTCTCAAGTAAGCTGTGCTAGTGGGAATGTATGAATAGTTGACATTTAACACAATTATGTTTTCATGCAACAAAGGAAATAAGTACAAAAATGTACACGTTCATCGCAAGCTTTTCGGAATGGTGGAATGTATGGACCGTCGGTATAGTGACAGCATTAATTGGTTTTATATACGTGTACGTAAAACGACACCACAGTTATTTCGAAAAGATGGGAATTCCTTATTTGAAATCTCACATTATAGTGGGCGTAGCAAAGGAGCGACCGTAGCGACCAGTGATTTTAAGGATAAGATCGTTTATAGAACAATCAAAGCTGTTATATGATTCAATGCCAAAAGCAAAGTACGCAGGGATGTATGATTTTACGTTACCATCAATAATGATACGGGATCTTGAACTCATCAAAGAAATTGGAATTAAACATTTTGACAATTTTGTGGATCATAAACCATTGGCCAATCCAGAACTCGATCCACTTTTTGCAAAAAATCTCTTTTCTTTACGCGGGAACAAATGGCGAGAAATGCGAGCTATCTTGAGCCCCGCCTTTACGTCGAGCAAAATGAAAATGATGTTTGAGCTAATGTCCAACTGCGCCAACGAATTCGCAGATTTTGTGACAACACAACGTGATACAAACATCGTGGAAATCAGGGATGCTTTTTCGAGATATACGAACGACATAATTGCAACTACAGCCTTTGGAATAAGCATAAATTCTATGAAGGAGCGCGACAATGAATTTTATAAAATGGGCAAGGACGTGACAACCTTTGGATTTTTTAACTCTATGGTATTCATGATAGGCCAGGTAAATCCGAAATTGACAAAATCATTAAAATTGAGAATAATTAATCAACGGGTATCAAACTTCTTCGAAGACATCATTACGTCAACTATTGCTACGACAATCGCTCAGAAGATTGAAAGACCAGATATGTTGCAATTATTGATACAGGCCAAGGAATCTGGAAAAGCTGCAGATTTGACTATTCAGGATATGACTGCGCAAGCATTTATATTTTTCTTTCGTGGATTCGATACAGTATCACTTGCCATGTGCTTCACTGCTTATGCAATTGCTACTAATCCTGAAGTTCAAGAGAAGCTGCAAATGGAAATTGATCAAGTTCTTAAAAAATCTAACGGCAAGATAACTTACGACGATCTGAAGGAAATGCAATATCTCGATGCAGTTTTTAATGAGACACTGAGGATGTATTCGCCAGTTGCGGAATTAAACAGGGAGTGTACAAAAAGTGTTGAACTCCCTCCAGCTACACCAGGCGCGAAGCCATGTACCGTAAAACCTGTCACTCAAATAATTATTCCCGTTTATGGCATTCATCATGATCCCCAATACTTTCCCGAACCTGATAAATTCGATCCTGAAAGATTTTTAGACGGTAGTGAGAGAATGACTCCTTCTGCATATTTGCCCTTTGGAATTGGCCCAAGAATTTGCATTGGAAATAGATTCGCAATAATGGAATGTAAATTAGTCCTCTTTCATTTATTAAAGAAATATAATTTTAGACCATGCGAGAAAACAACTGTACCTATGAAATTTAGTACAAACAGTGTCCTGCCGGGCCCTGTGAATGGCTTTTGGATAAAAATCGAATCAAGAAAATAAATTATATTCGTATAACTGTAGCTTATTATATTTTTATTAAAAAAAAATATATATATTTAGGTTGTATAAACTTAGAGTTTATAGCAATGAAACATGTACTAATAATGTAATGCTAGTAACACTTCCACAATATTATAAAAATTTGTTGATTACTTCAATGGTTACAAATACCTATACTATAAACCAGCATGTGAAAATTATATTTTAATTATAAGAAAAATAGTCACAGATTTCATAATATCAACAGATTATAATCTATTGCCTGCATATATCTTTTTAAGTAATGTTATATTTAGTGATTTAGTAAATCAGGGAAATTTAAGAATATAACTGTAGCAGTAAATTCGGCGATTACTTTAATCTAATGAAGCAAGTAGGTAGTTTATATTGATCTTCCAGGGCTCACGCTTAGACTCTCGCTCCGCATCACAACGACACTTAGTATCCCAAAACTAGGTGCTACCCCCGGAAGATTAATGAATATATTTATCGTATATGAATGTACAATTGTCAAGTCTACTTACCTATTTATAATAATTTCTGTATTAGTAACAGGTTCGAATTTTTGAAATTATGAAAATTATTTTGTCATTCTGATTTCCCATAGCGATATGATAAAATCCATTTCTAATAGCCACGTCAAAATTACATCTTTGTCATCAAATGCATAATGTGACATTGCTATATTAAATTCATCAAATAAAATGTATATTACATTTTACGAATAGAAAAAGAAATCTTTCATCCATTTTCTCTGCAGCCGATGAAAAATAAAACCAATCATCAGTGAGTCAAGTTTATCAAACATTTGATAAAATATTCCACATACCAAATTGCATGGTAAAATTTCTCATATTTCACATACAGTTCATCCAACTGCAATATTACGGTTCGCCGCGAGTACTGTAGGCCATATCATGAAACAAAATGGTTGGTAGGAGAATAAAAAAAAAGAAAAAAAAGGGACAGAAAGAAGGAAAAAGAACAGTGAGTAGAGAGGAGAGCAGGTGATACTTTACTCGGAACATTTTTGAGCTGCGGCCATGTTTCAAAAGCCGAGTACGTTGCATTGGATGGAAAATGGCTGACATTTTTTCTCGAGACAAGGCTGACTCAAGTATAAATATATATAATGTCTGCTCCCTCTGTTCTCGTATATCTACGAAGTTGCGAACTTTCGATTTCCCATCCCTTGCGGAACCTAAAAACGCTAACTTTTTTTTGACAGTGAAAAGTTTTACCTAATGATTACACCAGGGTATCATACTATTTCGACAGATCCGCTGGAATTGAAAGTTTTCACGAAAAAACGAGATGACCCTTGAAAATTTCTTTCGCGATTAATAAATATTTTATTTTTTTTTACTTTAGATCTGTACATGATTCAAGCACGAAGAATATTATACCGTGTCATGATTAAATTTTTTTCGGTTCGAGACAGATAATGTTATCTTTCTACTGACGCAGTATTGATAACTGAACAACAAATATACAATACCTAACAGATAAATACACTGAACAAGCTACACGTATTAATTGAAGGTTGCGTTTATACTACCCGAGTGCTTCGATTGGGTAACATTCCTTTAAGGTAAACTTAAAACCGCGTAATCAAGCTGAAATTTGTTTTACGTCTAATTTGTATAGCAGTACATCTCTCTACAAATTTTTTACACGATTCACTCATCAGTTTCCGAGTATTTCCGAGTTAATGTCAGGACTCGTAACATGTATCAAGAGACTAGGTCGAGTCTCGCGCCAAGTACAGGCAACCCGCCGTACGGGGCACGGTCCGCCGAGACTCTTTACTCGAAGCATCTCTTGTACCTGTGTTTCGACTGAAATATCTTATGAACGGCTGTATGTGAGAAAAATTTATTGATACATTTACTGTAGGAATCAAGGGTTCTGAATTGATTGCCACCAAATTCAATACGATTAGTGTACAGGATCAGGACGTATTCACATGGCAAGCAAGATGATTTTATTTCAGGTTCGTCGTCGTCGTCATCATCTCTGCAGCCGATGAAAAATAAAACCAATCATCAGTGAGTCAAGTTTATCAAACATTTGATAAAATATTCCACATACCAAATTGCATGGTAAAATTTCTCATATTTCACATACAGTTCATCCAACTGCAATATTACGGTTCGCCGCGAGTACTGTAGGCCATATCATGAAACAAAATGGTTGGTAGGAGAATAAAAAAAAAGAAAAAAAAGGGACAGAAAGAAGGAAAAAGAACAGTGAGTAGAGAGGAGAGCAGGTGATACTTTACTCGGAACATTTTTGAGCTGCGGCCATGTTTCAAAAGCCGAGTACGTTGCATTGGATGGAAAATGGCTGACATTTTTTCTCGAGACAAGGCTGACTCAAGTATAAATATATATAATGTCTGCTCCCTCTGTTCTCGTATATCTACGAAGTTGCGAACTTTCGATTTCCCATCCCTTGCGGAACCTAAAAACGCTAACTTTTTTTTGACAGTGAAAAGTTTTACCTAATGATTACACCAGGGTATCATACTATTTCGACAGATCCGCTGGAATTGAAAGTTTTCACGAAAAAACGAGATGACCCTTGAAAATTTCTTTCGCGATTAATAAATATTTTATTTTTTTTTACTTTAGATCTGTACATGATTCAAGCACGAAGAATATTATACCGTGTCATGATTAAATTTTTTTCGGTTCGAGACAGATAATGTTATCTTTCTACTGACGCAGTATTGATAACTGAACAACAAATATACAATACCTAACAGATAAATACACTGAACAAGCTACACGTATTAATTGAAGGTTGCGTTTATACTACCCGAGTGCTTCGATTGGGTAACATTCCTTTAAGGTAAACTTAAAACCGCGTAATCAAGCTGAAATTTGTTTTACGTCTAATTTGTATAGCAGTACATCTCTCTACAAATTTTTTACACGATTCACTCATCAGTTTCCGAGTATTTCCGAGTTAATGTCAGGACTCGTAACATGTATCAAGAGACTAGGTCGAGTCTCGCGCCAAGTACAGGCAACCCGCCGTACGGGGCACGGTCCGCCGAGACTCTTTACTCGAAGCATCTCTTGTACCTGTGTTTCGACTGAAATATCTTATGAACGGCTGTATGTGAGAAAAATTTATTGATACATTCACTCTAGGAATCAAGGGTTCTGAATTGATTGCCACCAAATTCAATACGATTAGTGTACAGGATCAGGACGTATTCACATGGCAAGCAAGATGATTTTATTTCAGGTTCGTCGTCGTCGTCATCATCGTCGTCGTCGTCTTCGCACGTCCATCGCATTTTTTACACAACAGATGGCGCTGACTGCTCTACCTTCTTTACCCATTTGTACACTGTATGGTGTTAGTATTTACGAATACACAACACAATCAAATACACTTTATACGTGAAGCTACCGTTCATACCGAGTTTCCAGGTAGTATAAGGGTGCTTTCACAACAGTATAGAATTATTCAGTTTTTAATAGCATTCATGTGGAGCGCGCGTATGTGTATGTATATATGTGCTTCGGCATAGTTCCTCGTATGGTAGGTGACAGTTTGTCCAGGTGTTCCGCTGCGTAGTTTTCTGTGTCCAGGTGTTGGATGTGAAAGTCCAGGGTGTGCAGATGTTCCGCTGCGTAGTTTTCTGTATCTAGGTGTCGAACGTAGAAGTCCAGGGTATCCAGATGTTCCGCTCCGTAGTTTCTTGTATCTAGGTGTCGGATGTGGAAGTCCAGGGTGTCCAGATATTCCGCTTCGTAGTTTTCTGTATCTAGGTGTCGGATGTGGAAGGGTATTCAGGTGTTTCTTTCCGTAGTTTCTTGTATCCAGGTACTGGATATGGAAGTCCAGGGTGTCCCGCTCCGTAGTTTCCTGCATCTAGGTGTCAGACGTGGAAGTTCAGGGTGTTCAGGTGTTCCGCTTCGTAGTTCCCTGTATCTAGGTGTCGGATGTGGAAGTTGAGGGTATTCAGGTGTTCCTTTCCGTAGTTTCTCGTATCTAGGTACTGGATATGGAAGTCCAGGGTGTCCCGCTCCGTAGTTTCCTGCATCTAGGTGTCAGACGTGGAAGTTCAGGGTGTTCAGGTGTTCCGCTTCGTAGTTCCCTGTATCTAGGTGTCGGATGTGGAAGTTGAGGGTATTCAGGTGTTCCTTTCCGTAGTTTCTTGTATCTAGGTACTGGATATGGAAGTCCAGGGTGCCCAGGTGTTCCGCTCCGTAGTTTCCTGCATCTAGGTGTCAGACGTGGAAGTTCAGGGTGTTCAGGTGTTCCGCTTCGTAGTTTCCTGTATCTAGGTGTCGGATGTGGAAGTTGAGGGTATTCAGGTGTTCCTTTCCGTAGTTTCTCGTATCTAGGTACTGGATATGGAAGTCCAGGGTGCCCAGGTGTTCCGCTCCGTAGTTTTCTGTATCTAGGTGTCGGATGTGGAAGTTCAGGGTGTCCAGGTGATCCGCTCCGTAGTTTCTTCTATCTTGGTGTCGGACGTAGAAGTCCAGAAAAGTGTGCAAAAAGCTTTGGCGCTTCGCTCAAACTATAGTATCCTCTCTGATGTTCGCACGGCCTGAGGTACGTAAATAATCCAGCACACTCTCCTTTCTTACGTTCCCCACACGACTTCAACAAGCTGGACACTATTAACGACGCTTATATGCATTGAAGATTACATTTTCTTTAAAAATTTGTATGTCTTTATGCATTTCTAGAACAAGGGACTTACAAATTAAATTTATATGCCATTAAACATTTTCGACAACGCAATATATTTTTCTGGTCAGCAACATCATAATGTATTTATATTTTATATCTGTGACAATATAGATTTCAGTGCTTAGAGATTCTATGTCCCATTCCTTACTCCACGCGAATTCCTTACTCCACGTCGACCCGGAATCTCGGACTGACAGTTGATAGTGCTCTCTCCTAGAATGTACACACAACAAATGTCTGTAGGCAAATTGCGAGGACCCTTTACCTGCTGAAGACTAATCGAAACTCACTATCCGTGGAACTG